CCTATGGGGGTAGTGGGAGACCAACGGGGCCCCTCTGGGGGGGAGGGGCCCCCGCAGGGGCCCCCATCACCGCTGCCTGTGCTGCCCCCAACCGCCCAAGGGGCCTCTGCCGGATGCTCCTGACGGGGGCCCCTTTGGGGGCCCTGGGGGGCCCCCGTGGGGGCCCCCAGGGGAGACGAGGGTCCACAGGAAGGGCCCCCAGGAGACGAAGAGGGCTCAGGGGCAGGGGCCCCCAAGGGGGGGCCCCCCCCTGCGTCTCCTCCTCCTCCTGTACCCTTCCAAGGGGAGGAAGGGGGGCCCCCTGCTGCTTCACTGCTGCAGTGAGGAGACAAAGAAGAGGCATTAGGCTCGCTTGGGGGCCCCCCCTCACCAGCACCCACAGGCGAGGGGCTGTAAGACAAACCACTAGAAACAGAGGGGCCCCCAGGGGGCCCCGAGGCCCCAGGGGCCTCAGGGGTATCGGGGGGCCCCCTGCGCTCTAACTGGGCATCTGACGGAGTTGATGGAGTGGAGGGGGCCCCCCCACAAGACCCTCCTTTAGGGGGCCCCTCAAGGGGGCCTTGGGGGGGCCCCCCATCCCTTTCAAGGGCCGCTTCAGGGGCCCCCTCAGCAGCCTGCTCAGGGGCCCCCTCAGGGCCTACTGCAGGGGGCCCCTCGGGGGCCCCCTCAGGGACTGCCGCAGGGGGCCCCTCGAGGGGTACCGCAGGGGGCCTCTTGGGGGGTACCGCAGGGGGCCCCTCGGGGGGTACCGCAGGGGGCCCCTCAGGGGCTACAGCAGGGGGCCCCTCAGTGGCTACAGCAGCGGGCCCCTCAGAGGCCCCCTCAGGGGCCCCCTCAGGGGCTGCCTCATGCGAAGTGCCTAATGTAATCCGTGGGGGCCCCTCTGCGGGGACGGACGGTACTGTGGGTTGGGGGCCCCCCTGAGAAGCGGGTTGGGGGCCCCCCTGAGGACTGTGTTGGGGGCCCCCCTGCGGGCTGGGTTGGGGGGCCCCCTGAGGACAGGCTTCGGGGACCCCCTGAGGACTGGGTTGAGGGGCCCCCTGAGGACTGGGTTGGGGGGCCCCCTGAGGACTGGGTTGGTGGCCCCCCTGAGGACTGGGTTGGGGGGCCCCCCCGTCTTCTGTGTCTGAGGGGGGCCCCTCGTTGATGAGGGAGAGGACGAGGGCAGCGGCGTGGGGGGTGAGGTCCGCATACACCTCATCTATGGAGGCCTTCTCCACTAGCTGGCAGTAATCTAGTAACAAAGATAACACCTGAAACACAAACCCTAAACCCTAAACCCTAAACCCTAGACACACTCACGCTCAATCGATAGAGCGTAGAGGGAAGAGATACACTTGCTGCTAAACCCTAAACCCTCGGTTATAAACCCTAAACCCTAAACCCTAAACCCTAAACCCTCACCTCAGCAGAAGCGTCTCTGTACCGCTGCAACGTCACTTTGTCTGCCTTCCAGTCCGGCTGCATGTCGCCCGCAGCACAAACCCTAAACCCTAAACCCTAAACCCTAAACCCTCAACCCCCTAAACCCTAATTTCCACTAGCAACTGCTGCGCCTCTGCCAACAGGATAACCCCGCCAAAAGAAGATGGCGGTGGGAGCTTCGAACGCAGTAAACCCTAAACCCTAAACCCTAAACCCTAAACCCTAAACCCTCTAAACCCTAAACCCTTTAAGCCTTCCAAAGCATAAACCCT